ATAATATCATTCAGTAAGTTCCACATTCTGTTGGACTGTCTTTTTAATTTTTTGATGCAGAATTTCTTCTCGGCCAGGTAGGTGTCCTCCAGATTTCCTGGCACAACCTCGTGAGCACATCTAAGGCTGCACCTCTGTTAAAATATGTCAATTCCTGGGGCCTTATTCTTTTGCCAATACCTTCAGTGCAGTGTGATCTTCTTCCTTTACTAGCTCTGGTTTCTGATCACAAGTGGCTTCCTGAAATGGTTCTGTGTCAGCCAATCCTTTCTGGTCCAGTGAATTCCATCTTCTTGTGATGCTTCCTGCCCCACTCGTGGTTTTGCCCACAGCATCCTTCAGTATTCTGACTTGGGGCTTTGATTTGTTCTTCAGTCCTTTCAGCTTGAGAAAAGCTAAGTGTGTTCTTCCCTTTCAGTTTTCTAACTCCAATTTTTGCACATTTCATTATGATGTTTTGTTTTGTTGTCTGCAGCTGCTAAGCTCACATGACATCTCTTGCAGTGGCTCCTTTGAGGGCCAAGCTCAGTGCTGTCAGCCTGGAACCCTGGCTTTGGGCTTGCAGATTCATTTCAATGGCCCTGCCTGTTTGTTGTTGTTGTTGTTTTAACAATCAAATGGGAAGATTCCTAGCACTTTGGCTCCAAAGAATTTGATGAGGGATAGCAAATGGTTAACGAGCAACGTACAGAAGTCTGCAGAGGTGTTGTGAGAATGCTCAGGATGCAACAGCATTCTGTGAAGTCAGAGGCTGATCTGTGCAGCCCACTGGTGCAATGCCCACGAAGGGGCTGAAGACCTTGGTGGGTGCCCTGCTGCCCCTGCATGCGCTTCTGAATGGGTCACAACTTAGGACTTACTCGCACTTGGACTGTCCAGCAAATTCATGTATAAGGCTGAGAATGAAACTACATTCCCTGGCTGCATCTGACATTCACGGAAGTGATATCATTTCCAAGTCACACCATCCAGGGCCCATTGAGGGGACCCGAGAAGGGGGACAATCCACAACCACTTTCCAGCCTGCTTCCCTCACAAACTCTCTGGTAGAGTGATGGAGAGGATGGACATCTGCGTATCCTCTGTACACGTTCTTTCAATTTTCCAGAATTAAGTGCTAGCACTGTGGGCTGGAGCACAGAGTATCTGGGATGAGGAGTGAAACGGGTGTGTTTCTGTGTGTTTGGGAAAGGTGAAAGAGCAGAGGGATATGCAGCTGCAGTTTGATTTTCATGCCCCTTGCCCTTGTTGAGAATGAGGAGAAAGGAAGGACAGTACAAGGGCACACGTGTGTCCCCCCTCCACCGCCCCTCGCAGGCATGATTAGAAAGAAAAGACTTGACACCTGAAAGGCACTGAGTATCCTAACACAGTGGTGCCTAATGCAGCTATCGGGAGGACTTTATGATAAAGGAAATCTGGGCCGTCCAGCTGTGCAGAGGCCCCTGCTGTGCTAAGCACAGGCCACTAACACGTCCCAGAGCTTCCTGAGGGAGGGGAAGGGCATGGATAGAAGTGCCAAGCTGACAAGGCTGTTAAAAGTGGCTCCTGCCCCCTGCCAGGCTGGACAGCGGGAGGCAGACTACACCTTACCTTGCTCTCCCTCAACAGGGGCTGGTTTCTAGTTGACTCATCACATTGCAGAAGCTGAACTCCTAATACTGAGTGCATGTGGTGCTTGCGGTTGAATGTGAGAAGATATTACAGCGAGGGGAGAAGGTGGCACACTATTAACATTGTTAGGTGCCCTCAAGTAGACTACGCTTCATAACGACCCTCTGAAGAACAGATTTGAATCTTGCCCTACCCTGAGACAACCTCAACAACTCCTAACCACCTGGCACCATTGCCACAGTCACTGTGTCAGTCCATCTCATCAAGGGCCTTCATCTCTTGTGCTGACCCTCCGCCATTCCCAGGATGATGTCCTTCTCCAAGGACTGGTCCCTTCTGACAATATGCCCAAAGTACATCCAGTGCCACGTATCTGGGGAAGACAGAGGGGGCTGAGCTGCCAGGCCACCATGGTTCAGGCACTAAGGAATGGAGAACCCAGCGAGATCTCGATGTGGAAAGTCAAGGAGTAGACAGAATGCTATTCACGGGTCCAACGCTCTGCTTGGCCTTCACAATGGTACCTTGTGTCGACACAGCATTAATGTTCAATCTGAGCCATCACCAATTCAACACAAATTACTAAAATGATAAAAAGCCTGTCTGAGCACACAAAGAATGTGGGAGCCACAGAAATGAAATAATTAATGATTTCATAATATGATGGTATTTTGAATTATATCTAGGTATCATACTATGTGGTCATTGTAGTTATATGCCATCAGGTCAGAAGTGACGCATAGCTGGGCCTCCAGCAGGTTTGCAGAGACTGTAAATCACTCAAGAGGAGACTGTCCTGCTTTCTCCCTTAAAGCAACTGGCAGATTCAAACCACTTGCCTGTAGCATGACAGTGAGATTCCTTACCACTTGGTCAGCAGAGCTCCCCTATCATCTAATAGGTAATCACATTGACAGGTAAGATTATCTTCCCATGGACAGGAAATCCAATCGGGGCAATAACTCTTTCAACTCACTCAGTACCCTTCCCATCCATCCTCTTTGTAATCACAAGTTGAAGGTATTTATTTAACTATGCTAATAAAATGGTAACTATTACCTAGTTAATTTCACTGAAACAGTCCTCAGAAAAGAGCAAGGAAACACTGCAAAATAAGGAAAGTAGTGCTTGGGGAAGCATCCTGTCTCCATGCTTTTTCAATGCTTTTTTATATGGAACAGATCATTTGGGAGGCTGGGCTTTATGAAGGGGAATGTGGCATCAGGATTGGAGGAAGACTCATCAACAACCTACATTATGCAGATGATACAACCCTGTTGCTGAAACCGAGGAGGACCTGAAGCGCTTGCTGCAGAAGATCTAGGATTGTAGTCTTCAATATAGATTGTAGCTCAACATCAAGAAAACAAAGATACTCATCACTGGGCCAGTAGGAAGCACCATGATGGATGGAGAAGAGATTAACATTGTTAACAGTTACAGTTTGCTCAGCTCCACAATTAACACTCTTGGCACCAGCATCGAGGAAATAAAAAGATGAATTGCACTGAGAAAATCTGCTGTAAGGGACATCTCCACAGCCCTGAGAAGCAACAGTATCAGTCTAGAGACTAAGGTGTGCCTGACTCAGGCCTTGATCTTCTCACTTGCTTGTTATGCATAGAGAGCTGGACAAGGAATAAGGATGACAGAAGAAGAATCAATGCCTTTGAGTTGTGGAGCTGAAGAAGAGTCTTGAACATACCATGGACTGCCAAGAAAACAAACAGGTCTGCCTTGGAGAGGGTGAAACTAAGCTGATCCTCGGAGGCTACGATTTTGAAGCTCCGACTCACATACTTTGGTCATGTGGCCAGGAGGCACTAGTCCTTGGAGAAGGACATCATGCTCGAAAGGGTGGAGGGACAATGCAGGAGAGGAATACCCCAGATGAGATGGATTGATATAGTAACTGGGGCAATGGAGGTAGGTGTGTTGGAGTCAGAGAGACTGGCTCAGGACAGGGCAGGCTTCAGAGCTGTTGTACACAGGGTTACTATGAGTTGTAGGTGACTCAACAGCACATAACAACAAGAACAACATGGTAAAGGGTCCCCACAAAGTCTTGAAAAGCCATTTCTGGGTTTATTCATTGTCAATTGCTAATTCCAAGAACTGAGACAGGATAACAATTGCTGCTTGAGCTCCTCAACATGGGCAGGTAAGTCTCTAGTCATTGGAGAGAGACTCACAGGACTTGGGGAAGCCGGCTTCACCCCAGGGGGAAGACCTCAAGGACTCCAACTGCCTGAATTACCCGAAATACCTCCTACGATGACAACTTGCATCCTTAAAGGATGCTTATAGAGTAAGAAATGATGCCACATATATTTTCTTCATGCCCGTGACCATTCTGTAAGGTAAGGTATTAGTAGGTAGATGGAGAAATAGGCTCAGCCAGTCTATCATTATTGATTAACCCCAAAGAGTTCTATCTTATACAAAAATTCTGACACCCATTTTATCACTGGGTCTTCTAGGACCCTGATGGCATAAACTAACAGAGCTGCCATTCCATAGGTGGCGGCTCACGAAGCTGCCAAGTAGCACAGCTGGGCCTGGCAGAGCCTGGACGGCCAAGGGCGCACTTCCTCCACTGTCACCCTGTCCAACCACAAAGCTGAGCTGGGGCGACAATAGTGAGAGGCGGCTCCAGGGAACAGTCCTTCATGGACACGTGGCAGAGGACATCTCTGGCTATGCCAGACAGGAAAGCAGCTCTAATTTCACCATGGTGAACCATTTATGGAAAAGAGAGAAAGGCTCTCCCAGAAGTAGACGAACATTTGCATGGGATGACGAATGGCAGTTCTCCGCGTTTCCAAAGTCCTCTGAGTAGGCTTGTCAGACAAGACTGACTTGACACTTGTGTGTCCCATGCAGTACTAAAGACATATTTATACATACATATATATACACATAGACACACATATGTGTGTGTGTATATATATATATATTTGTTGTTTATCTGAAATTCAAACTTAGCCAAGTATCCTGTGTTTTAAATGGCTAAACATGGCACCCCAATCAATCTGTCGACTGTCTCATTACCATGAGCACACACATTCTGTACAATGATGATCATAAGCCATTAAAGGCAATGTTGATTGAAGACTGAGCTCCATTGAGATCATTTCCCATTTCTTACATCTCTTCTCTGATCTGAGTGGTCAAACCTTAGGACTAAGGTAGATTCATGTATCTTCCCTTTTTTGTGCTTGGAAAATGGTGCATTAACTTTGAGTTAAGGCCAGTTGCAGGCACAACATGAACAATGGATCGCAATTGTCTCTTGATGGAGGTCCTTGGCCTGGCAGCCCATGCCCAGTCCTGGCACCCCCATGGGAGGGGTGACCCCACCCCATGCTCTGAGCAGAGCCACTTACTTGTATGGGATGTGCTTGCTGCCATTGACGAGCGCCAGGATGACGTTGCCCAGCGCCGACAGGGAGAGGCACAGCCCTGAGCCCCCTTCTCGATTCTTGCTAAGTGCTTTCACACAGCTGCCAAGGTCAATGAGGTGCAGGCGGCTGCGGCCTCCAGACACTACACAGGGAGAGAAGAGAGAGGAGAGAGGTGGTTATGTTCCAGCAAGCTCTCCCTGATCTCCATGGAACTCCTGCTGAAATCAGAAGGAAAAACAGGACCTAACAAGAGAAAGTTTACTATATAGTAGGAAACCCTGGTAAAATCATGCTTAAGTTCAAATGGCAATGTTGTTGTGTACCTTTGAGTCAGAACCAATTCCTAGCTGACCCTCCAGCAGATTCTCAAAGGCTGGAAATTGCACACTAGAAACTGTTCACCTTCCTCCCATGGAGCAGCCGGTGGAATCGAACAGTGTGCCTTTGCACTGGCAGCATGATTCCTAACTGCTAAACCACCAGAGCTCCTCATAAATGGCATAAATACTCTTTCAATCCTGTGACCACCTTCTGAAAACTATTGATATTCATGTTGTTTTTAGGTGTCACTGAGTTGAGTATGACTCATAGTGACCCTGTGAACAACAGATCTGAACCCTGTGCTGTCCTGTGCCGTCCTCATCAGCTCTGACACACTTGAGCCCATTGCTGCAGTCACTGTGTCAGTCCATCTCCTAGAGGGTCCTCCTTTCTTGCGCCGACCCACCACCTTTTTATGCATGATGTCCCTTTCCAAGCAATAGTCTCTCCTAACAACATGCCCAAAGTATGTGACATTCATAGTATAAATGTGATGACATTTTTAGTATAAATAAATAAGTCCTGTAGCTTGAGTTGGGGTAGACTCTAAGGAAAGTAAAGTCTAATTCAAAAAGGATAAAATTTTGTCCCCTAATTGTCCTTTGGAGAACAGAATCCTGAAATTGCTCAAGTTAAAACCTCAAGAGCTTCTGGGTGATTATCTGCTTTGACTGATCACCCACAGGCAGTCTGACCTAAACTCAGCCAAGAACCAAGTTGTTGAGCCTGAGTAAATTAAGGAGCAAAGAACAACTCGTTTCAGGGCAGGGACAGATCCAGATATTGCTGATTATCTGTCAAGTGCCCCATGTCCTCTCTGCACAAATCTAAGTCTAATCCCATTTCCATGGCAAAGTCATGAGCCCTTGTTTTACAGGTGAAGAAATATAAGTTCAGAAACCTGCCCACTGGTACCTCTGCTTTGGATCTAGTTGGAGCAATAGGCAGACTAATCCTGTTACTTGAAACAATGAAAGTCAAGCAACATATAGAAACTGCAGCTTGTAAGACATTAAAAGTCAGAGACAATGGGTGGTGACCGCTGAGAGTTCGAAAGAAGCCAGCGGAACATTGTGGATGTGCCAGCTCTATGCCTAGTGAGAGCTTCCAGCTTCAGCCCAAAGTGAGAACTCACAGCGAGAGTTCCCTGCATCGTGTGTCTGTGCTCGAAGACCAGGGACGCCACTGAGGTTACAGTGCACAGGACAGGGTCCTGCAGAAGGTCAGCCATGAATGGGTACCAGCTCGATGACACTTAACAACAAGAAGCTTTCAAGCAGCGTAAGAATACTTATAGGAATATAAAAATATTCAGTGCCAACAAAATCCATTTCACTATCTGGAAGCTGATTTAAAAAAACAAGCAGCAACAACAGCAGCAGATATGCACTTAAAATATTATTTCCTAAAAGAAAATAGCGAGAAAATGATAGGACCTCATTTTATTTACACTGTTGTTGTGTGCCACCGAGTCTCCTACAACTCATTGTGACTCTATATACAACAGCTATGAATTCTGCTTTGTTCCAAGCCAGTCTCATTGTCTCCTACACACCCACGCTGATTACCCCAGTTACTTTGTCATCCATCTCATCCGGGGTCATATTCTCCTGGGCTGTCCCTTCACCCTTCCAAGCCTGATGTCCTTCTCCAAGGACTGGCCCCTGGCCACATGCCCAAAGTATGTGAGACGGAGCTTCAAAATCCTCACCTCCTATAGTCTAACCAATATAGGGAGCTCTGGTGGCCTGGTGGTAAGGAGCTATGCTGCAATCCCAAAGGTGCATGGTTTGAATCCACCAGCTGCTCCATGGGAGAAGGATGGGCAATCTCCTCCCGTGCAATTCCCTATTTCTGAAAATCTTCTGGAGGATCAGCTATGCGTTCATTCTGACTCGAGAGCAATAGAACAGCACTAAGTATACTAGGTCACCAGAGCGGGAGCTCTGGAGTCTCAGTCATAAGGAGTTGTATTGCCAACCTAAAGTGCGTGGTTTGAATCTATCAGCAGCTCAGAGGGTAAGAGATGGACAATCTCTTCTTGTGTGATTAACTGCCTCTGAAAACCCACTTCAGGGTCAGATATGCGGTGATTCTGACAAAACAGTACATAACAGTATTCTAAAGGAAAAATTAGCTAATTTAGACCTGACAAAAATGAACTACTTGTGTTTATCAAAAGAATAAAAGACAACCCGTATAACGGTCTAATCTGTAAAGCAGAAAACTTTAACAGCAACAGAAAGACAACCCAAATTCAAAACAGGCAAAGAACATGGACAAATTCTTTACCAAAGAAGACATTCAAGAGGCCAACAAATATATAGAAAATATGCTCACAATTACTACCTGTTGTTGTTCGGTGCTGTTGAGTCAAGTACAGCTCACAGTGACCCGATGGACAACAGATCTGAAGCCTGCCCGGTCCTGTGCCATTCTCATCACCTCTGACACACCTGAACCCACTGCTCTGTCACTGTGTCAGTGCATCTGGTTGAGGGTCTTCCTCTTTCACTGATCTCCACTTTTCCAAGCATGATGTCCCTCTCCAAGGAACTCTCCTCACAATGTGCCCTTGTATGTGCCTGGAGAATATCCTATCACTCACATCACTGTACTTCAGGATAGAACTTGAAATGGACTTTTTCACTATGAATGCAACACCATTCTTCTTCTGTTTTTCATTCCCAGCATAGTAAGTATACCATGTGATTATCTGATTCAAAGTGGCTTAAGCTAGTCCATCTCATCTCATTAATGCTTGGAATGTCCGTGCTCATGTGTTCCATTTAATTTTTCTACAATTTCTTGATCTAGTTCAGATATGTTGTTCATAGGGTAATAATGGGTAATACGTGACAGCATCTGATGACAGCAACAACAACAACATGCCCAGAATATGTGAGAAGAAGCTTTCAGAGAAAAACTTCAAGCTTTGAGAAGCTTTGTCATTAGGTGTAGAGAGATGTACATAATAACTACAATGATATACTATCTCACCTCTAGTTAAAATGGCACTGAAAAAGTGAGAGGACAAAGAAGACCAACAAAAACCAAAACAAAATACCAAACAGACAAAACCCTCAACAAACATAATAAATATTGTTATGGATGTGGGGAGATGGGAACACTTTGACATTGGCAACGACTATAAAATGGAACAATCACTTTGAAGAACTGTATGATTCTTCC